AGTTTGGGTGCAACTCTACAAAAACAGGAGGCTGGGGCCTTTGCTAGTTGGGCCCAGTCGGATCCCTGTCCCTGCTTTAAGCCAGGGGCTTACTGGCCACTTTAATGGTCCCCAGGCTGAGGGACCCTGGGAACAGTGGAGGGTCTAGGTCGCTCCTGACCTCGGGGACCCCAGGTCTGAGGGGCCCTGGAAGGTCTAGTTCTGTCTCTGACTCGCAGCAGAAGGCCTGGCTGTCTCTAGGTTTCCTCCGACACAGAGGGCCAGCTCAGGCCAGGACTCGCTGGGACCTGAGCAGCCCAAGGGTCCTGCAATCCCACACGAGTTCCGGCCCAGAGCCAAGGTGGAGGATGCCTCGGGAGGCCAGAGAGGACGTGGGGGACCCGCCTGCCTCCTCTGCTGAGTCCTGAGACCCCTGGTTCCAGCCACAGTGCCCCGGGCTCCAGACCCTGGGCACAGGCCAGCTGGGGCTGAGGCGGAGTGATGGGCGGCTGTGGCACTTACCAGAAGGAAGCAGGGGCTGACCAGCTTCCAACACAGACGCCAGTACAGGCTGGGCCGCTGCCCCGTCATCTGCTTGATGTCCTCACTGAACTGCCGGACACCTGCGGTGGGGACGTGGTGACCACAGGGTCAGGACAGCCATGTTCCCATGACACTGAACACACGCCAGTTCCTTTTATGCAGGGTCCACCTGCAAACCCCAGGCTCTGGCTGCACTCAGCCTCCCGTGCAGGCGTCCAGGATCCCTGCCCTGCCCAGACCACCTGGTGGCCTTGCAGACTATGGGTTGCACAGAAAGCAAGCAAGAGGAAGCCGGCCTGGTGGCCACAGAGAAAGCACAGCAGTGTGACTGTGGGCTTACCGTAGAACCAGGCCACTCCGATGGCTTCAATGAGCACTCCAAAGAGGATGGACGTGCCGGCTGCAAAGTGGTCCAGCAGCGTGAAGACGTAGATGCCCCCCTGCAAGAGAGGGGCCCGGCTGGACTTGGTCCCCAGCAGAGGGAATCCCTGCTGTGGGGCCTCCCTCACAGGACTGGCCTGCGGGTCCACTCTGAGATGTGTCCTGTCTACTCCCGTGGAGCCCAGAGCACTGAACACCAGCACATGCAGCTATCACGAAAAGCTTGACACTAGGCCCCTTCCCAGGACTCCAGGAGAAACAGGCCAGCGCCACGCTCCGGATTCCTCTGCCACCTCCTCTCCTTGCCCACCCAGTCCCCCACATCCCCACGTTCCACTGAGGGTGCTTCCGGGAGCTCCCTGGGTGGTGGCGTCACTCTGGGACCTGGCTCCGGACAGGCAGCTGTCCTGTGTGGGGCTACGGGGAACTGTGTTTGAGGACTTGCGGCTTCTGAGAGAGGCGGCTGGCCTGCCCAGCCCGCGGCTCCAGCCACCTGCTCATGCCAGGGAGAGCAACACCGTGCGTTCGGCCCCAGCCACCTGCCCACGCCAGGGAGAGCAACACCGTGCGTACGTTGGTGACGCAGAAGAGCGAGAGCAGGAAGGTGGCCAGCACGATGCCGAGCGTGAAGAGCTCCCGGTGCCGGTGCAGCAGCGGGAACTCGTCGACCAGCCCCGTGATCACGGACTCCATGCCGCCCATCTGCAGGACACAAGCAGGCACTGGCACCAGCCGGCAGAGACAGTCCTGTCGTGGGGGGTGCGACCCGGGGGGGACATGGGGGAGGGGCCTGCACAGTAGTTCAGAGCTCGTACAAAGAAAGGGCTTCAGTGAGGGACACTTCCTTGGTGACAGGACCCTCAGAGGGGGGCCTGGAGGGTGACCACAGCCACCCCAGGCCTTGGCTAAGACAGTCTGTTGGACACCACCCGGGACCTGGCAGGCCAGGCTCTGCTGCGAGGGCAGCCGGGTGCTGTGGGCTGCCCAGGCTGCCCAGAGACCTGTGTCCTGTCAGCGCAGGGACACAGAGGCCCGTGGTCCCCAGGGCTGTGACCCAGCTGGGTGGGGGGTGAGGGTGGGTTGTGGCCGGTGGCCCTCACTGCTTGAGAAAGGAATGCTTGGTCCATGCTTTCCAGCAAGCATATCCTGGGCCCCATCAGGATGGGCCAATGCGAGAGGCACTGCCCCCTCCCGCCAATCCTGTGACGCCTGAGGCTCAGCTCATGGGGCAGAAGGACTCTGAGAAGGTGCTGCCAGCCCAGGCCCAGCGAGGGCCCCGGGCAGCCTCCACTGCCCACCGTGCATGCCCGATGGCTGGTCATGCTTTCTGAGCCAGGCCTCTGGTGGCTGGGGCCTGCTGCATGTGGGCTCAGACTCTGAGGGGCCCAGGGTGGACACACTGAAGGCCCAAGGGGGAAGAGGAAGGGTAAGCTAAACTCCAGGAACCGCCCAGCTCCCTGCAGGGAGGGTCTAGAATGACTGTGGCCTGTGTCCCTTGAGTAGGCTCTGTGCTGAGCAGGGAGGTTTGGGGGACCATCCGTGGGTCTCTGGGTCTCTGCCTGGCCATGCCAGGGCATCACCCCAGGAACACGTCGAGCATGGTGCTGAGGGCCCCCGGGCACGGCAGCCAGGGCCCACCGGACTCACGGCACTGTCGATCCCCAGGGTGAGCAGCATGGCGAAGAAGACCACCGCCCAGGCGGAGGACAGGGGCAGGGTTGCGATCGCCTCAGGGTAGATGATGAAAATCAGCCCTGGCCCTGCAATGGAAGCCCGCCCTGGTCACTGCAGGGCTTGGCTCTCTCACCCCCCCCCTGCAGGCCGGCTCCGCCCTGCTGGGGGCCTGGGGGCTGACGGGTGGGAGGTTCTCCCCGGAAGTTCTCCCTGAGGGTCCCCGTGCTGTGAACTCAGCACACACCTGGCCCAGACCCCAGAAGACACACACCCAGAACCCATCAGGGGCTTGTGCCCATTGCAACCCGAGCCCCACTCCCTGGTGTGCGCACGGGCTTTGGGGGCGGGGGAAGCAGTTCAGGCAGGAACAGAAGCGTGGGCGGAAGGGGCCGTGGGCAGCCCGCGAGTCTGCCAGTTAGCCCTGAGGTCTTTCCAGTGCAGGCCCCGCACACACACACAAGCACATGTGCCCACACATGACAGTGCACGAACGTGACACGCGTGTGCCACAACATGTGCGTGAATACCATGCACACAGAAGCACACCCATGTTCACACTATTGGTGGCCTGGCTGTCAAGTTAGAAGGACGTCACAAACACGCTGCTGACACCGGCTTCCCGACTGTCCACGCTCACTCCGGCCAACTCAATGCAAACGGACACAGTGATGTCACTTCCAAGAGGGCACCTTGTGGATGAGCGTGTGGCTGACCTCCCCACCACCCTGCAGCAGGGGCCCGGGAAGACCACACAGATGCAGGCACCCCCACCAGGCCCCGGGGGCTCGGGAGGCAGAGACTCAGCCCAGGGGATGCCTGCGGTGACCAAGCAACATGCTGCTGGGCCCGAGGCCTGGTCACGGTGCACACCCAGTATCCTAAGATCAGCTGCAAAGCCGTGGCATGTTGTCCCTACAGGATGAGGCCTTGCAGGGCCCAGGGGAGGTGCCTGCAAAGGCCCAAGGGTGGCCCCCTGCAGGGCTCACTGGGGACATTCGCAGAAGCCGCAGAGAGGACGGCGGGGGAGCGGGCTGGGGTGTGGCAGGCCCCAGCACAGCCCCACATAGCTCCCTCCCAGAGGGTCCTGGATGATCCCACCCCATGTGGCGGACAGCGTCAGTTCCAGGTCACGGTGGATGGGCACCTTCACGCCTCCTGCCGACCCCAAGTCTCGGCTGCAGACCTCTAACTCCTGGGATCCCCGTCTTCTGTGTGTCTGGCCCACAGGAGGAACTAGCACTCACGTCTTAAAGAACCACACCCACAAGGTGACAGGGACCTGCCCTCCAGCACGGCTGGACCTGGGCTCCCTGCAGCGCTCAGGATGCCCTGTCAGCTGTGACCTGGGAAGGCTGTGGCCTGGCAGAAGGCAAGGACAGCGAGCCCACCTGTGGTCTCTGCCTGAGTTGGCTCTTCGCCCTGGGGTCCTGAGAACCGGGGCTGTAACGCCATCTTCTTTGTCAGCAATGCAGACACAGGCAGCTCACTTCTGGGAGCTGGGGCTTTAAGGCCAACGCTGCGTACCACACCAAGGGCAGGGGGACGGGTGACGGCGGCCAAGGCAGTGGCAGAGCCACTCCTGGGGCTCCTCTCCCGCCTGTGCCAGCACCACCCGCTGTGGGTGGGGGCAGCCTTCTCAGGACCTGCCCATATTCTACCTACAAAGCGAGGGTCCTACTGCGTGGCCTCTGGGGACCAAGTGGGTGGCTGCTGTGGCCAGTGCTGAGGGCACAGGCCATATGGTCCTTCCTCCAACTCTGGGCCCCAGGAGGAGGTCAGCTGGTGATGGCAGTGCTGGGGTGGGGCAGGCCCATCTGGGTGCAGTGGTCATCATGGCCTGTCTGCACACAGCCCTGTCCCTTCCACTGCATGGATGCCATCTGCCTGAGGCCCTCACCAGAGAGGAGCTGGTGCCAGCTCCACAGGCAAAGTAGATGTCACTTTCAGCTCTTGGACTCTGAGAGCTAAGCCAGCCTCTTTTCTTGGTTTTGGTGGTGGGTACTGGGGATTGAGCGCAGGGGCACTTAACCATTGAGTCATATCCCAGCCCTGTTTTGTATTTTATTTAGAGACAGGGTCAGCAGGAAGCAAAATCCTTGCTTTTGCTGAGGCTGGCTTTGAACTTGCGATCCTCCTACCTCAGCCTCCCAAGCGACTGGGATTACAGGCATGCACCACCATGCCCAGATAAACCTCTTTGCTTTATAAAGTTCCAATCTCAGGTATTTCATTACAGCAATAGAAAACAGACTAAGACACCATGCCACTCAAACACACAGTGCTACAGCCCTCCCACTTTCTCAGCTATAAGACACAGGTGTGGAAAGACATTGGAATCTGAAAGCAGGCTGTATGAGTGAGAGTCCACATGCCAGGGACTTCGGGGATTTCTCTGTGACCTAAATCCTATCTACATACGTCATGATCTCTGGATCTTGGTCAGAAACGGATTAATTGCTGACATCAAGAACAAGCCAGCTTGGTTGTGGCAAGGCCAGCACTGCTTAGTCCTGAGTCACATGCAACTGCAGCAGTTCAGTCCCCCTCCCTGGAGCTGTAGGTACCTCCATCAGGGTACAGGCCCTGAGGGACAATGTCCTCTTCAGACCTTGCCAGAGGTCTCAGGGGGTCTGCAGGAAGCATGTGTTGAGGGACAGAGGTGTGAGGTGCTTTGGGGACTTGTGGTTCTGTTGGCCA